GTTGGACCACTATACAATGAAACATATCCCGCATTTTCCGTAATTTGTTGTACAGAAATATCGAGTTTTCGGTTAAGCTCCACCCGTCGGGCTCACGACGAATAAAAAAAATCATCACAATTGAGAATGGGAGGGTGGGTGGGGCTTACCCATTTCAATAATAAAATACTTTAAATAATCAAATGGTGAAATCGATGTTAGAATTATGCTTTAAGTATTATGTTGTTGAAAGTAAAGTCTATACATTAAGAAAAAGAAACCAACTATTAAGGCCCACCCACCCGCCCCTATCTCAATTGTGATGAATTTTTCAATTATTGTTACTTCGAAGGGCGGAGCTTAATTACAAAATCCAGATTTCTTTAGAAAAATCTACCATTTTCAAGATGTTTTTAAGTTGCTTATTGCGAAAAGATGACTATACGTATATTAAAGAAAAAAATTAGTCGAAAGTTGTTTCGACAGAACTTCCCTCGCACCTAAAGTACAATGAAACATATCTCGCATTTTCCGTAATTTCTTGTACAGAAATATGGAGTTTGCAGTTAAACTCCACCCGTCGGACTCACGACGAATAAAAAAAATCATTGCAAACGAGATGGGGGCGGGTGGGCGGGGCTTATCCATTTCATTAATATAATACTTAAAATATCAAATCGTGAATTCGAGGTTAAAATTATGTTTTTAAGTATTATATTGTTAAAAGTAAATTCTATACATTAAGCAAGAGAAACCAATGATTAAGCCCCGCCCACCCGCCCCTGCCTCATTTGTGATGAATTTGTCATTTATTGTCACTTCGAAGGGCTGAGCTTAATTACAAAATTTACATTTCTTTAGAAAAATTTACCATTTTCAAGTTGTTTTTAAGTTTCTTGTTGCGAAAATATGACTATACGTATATTAAAGAAAAAATTAGTCGAAAGTTGTTTGGACAGAACTTCCCTCGCACTTAAAGTACAATGAAACTTATCCCACATTTTCCGTAATTTCTTGCACAGAAATATGGACTTCGCAGTTAAGCTCCACCCCTCTGTCTTACGACGAATTAAAAAAATCATCGCAATTGAGATGGGGCGGGTGGGTGGGGCTTACCCATTTCAATAATAAAGTACTTAAAATATCAAATCGTGAATTCGAGGTTAAAATTATGTTTTAAGTATTATGTTGTTAAAAGTAAACTCTATACATTGAGAAAGAGAAACCAAAGATTAAGCCCCGCCCACCCGCCCCTGTCTCAATTGTGATGAATTTTTCATTTAATATCACTCTGAAGGACGGAATTTTATTATAAAATCCACATTGCTTTAGAAAAATTTGCCATTTTCCACATGTTTTAATTTTCTTGTTGCGAAAAGATGACTACGTTTATTAATGAAAATATTGGCCGAAGGTCGTTGCGACAGAACTTCCCTCGCTCCTGAAGTACAAAGAATCATATCCAGCATTTTCCGTAATTTCTTGTACGGAAATATGGACTTTGCAGTTAAGCTCCACCCGTCTGACTCACGACGAATAAAAAAATTCATCACAATTGAGATGGGGTGGGTGGGTGGGGCATATCCATTTCAATTATAAAATACTCAAAGTATCAAATAGTGATTTCGAGGTTAAAATTATGTTTTAAGTATTATGTTGTTGAAAGTAAACTCTATCCATCAAGAAAAACAAGCCAATAATTAAGCCCCACCCACCCACGCTTATCTCAATTGTGATGAATTTTTCATTTAATGTCACTTAAAATGGCGGAGCTTAATTACAAAATTCACACTTCTTTAGAAAAACTTGCCATGCTATGTTACCAAAATTTTGTAAAGTTTTATTTTTGTAAATTTTTTTCTCTTTTTCGTTCCCTAGTTTTCCTCAAAACTAAAACTACAGACAACAGTATTGTATTCCGAAAATTTTCTGGGGAAATGGAATGAGCCGTTCCTGATTTAATTTATTTAGTAAAAACTCTTCATATTGGCACATTTTGGTGGAATTTATTCAGCAAAATTTTGAAATGACGTCATCAAATTTTTCGGGGAATGAACAGACACATTTCGATAAACAATTTACCATGCTTTTTATAACATTAAAACGTGTGGAAGATTTCAAAGTATGTATTCAGTTTTGCAATTATTGATTTATTCAATAAAATAAATTCACTGATTAATATTTTTTTTGTATCTAAAAAATATTAATGCAGTGACAAATCACAAGTATAGACTCATAATATTTTGCACATTTAAGGTAAGACGTCATCAATTTTTTAGGCGGTATGAGCAAATACATTTTGATCAAAAATTTGCCATGCTTATGAGTACGACAATTTTAAAACATCTCGCAAGATTTCAAAGCATTCGCTTTTTGCAAATCCTGAACAAATTAGTAAAACAAATTTATGCATGCATTAATTTTTTTGAGTGACCCTGTATAAGTAAATCCAAAAATATGAATGGAATGAGAATTGACAAGTATACTCATCATATTTTGGACATATAGGATTTATTCGGCAAAATTTTGAGCTGACATCATCAATTTTTTGAAGGAGTTAAGCAAATAAAAAAAGCAAAATTAAATTGCAAAATGTTTCATAATTTTGTTTCTTTTTTCCAAAAATCTGGAGGTTTCGGGTAAAAATTCAAGTGTAGGACTATGTTATTTTATACAATTTAAAACCCATGGACTGTGTACAATTTTGAACTGACGTCATCACATTATTGAGGGTTGATTAGACAAATTTTGGTTAGAGCTTCACCGTCTACATAATATTCCTAATATAAATACAAAATTTGCCAACATTCGACCCAATGCTTCCGGAGATTATCTATCAAATATAAATCCGGGACGGCAGACAGACGGACAGACAGTCAGACAGACGGAAACGGAAAACGGACTCGATTACAATACTTCCTCGGCTTACGCTCGGGAAGTAAAAATTAGTCGAAGGTTATTTCGACAGAACTTCCCTTGCTCCAGAAGTGTAGCCCAACAAAAGAAAGCAAAAAGGTTTGAAATTTAAAATTCAAAAAATAAAAATACCCAAAAACTGAACAAGTGAGAAATAGAAAAAACAAAAAAAAATCAAAAATTTAAGAACACTGAACTCGAGAAGCGGCACAACACTTGGCTTTGTAGTAAGCGCTTGACTGAAGTATGCGGCACGTTCATGGTATTCCATTAGCTTAATAAAATATTGTTTATGTTGTACAACTGTCCACCGCATTAACCAGAAAGCGATTCTCAAAAATAGTTCAGTTTACGAAGAGGATCAGTTCATGTCTGCTGTATAATTAGCTTTTACAGCGCGAATCGTTTGAATTATGCATTTTCCGTGGCTAATTAACGTCCTCATAAAAAGCACGGCACCCTTCTTTGAAAAATAAGCAATTTAAACCGCTCTTCATAAAAAGTTTGTGTAAGTCGTGTAACCGCGAATTTATAAATAGAGTCCGGGTCTGCTTCGTGTCTTTGGAACGCGAGAACTGAAATCTCGGAGCCTAAACACGGCGTCTGAAAAAATGCGAAGTCTTCTATTTTCACGTCTACCTTTCCACAATGAAATTTTAATAAAACCTGAAACTAATTTCCATTGACAGATTTGATTTTGGCGGGTGTTGTGTCGATAAAAGTTCCTGACACTTCCATCAATTATAATCGTTCATGGTGTTTAGTGTTTCACATCGTAATATAAAGGCTTTGTTGCACGATCAGATATGGTTTATTTTAAACGAATAAAAAAAGCTGGCTCGGCAAAGGTCCCCTTTTCATGTTCAACCTGTTGTGCACCTTGGTTCCTCTCTTTCTCTATCGACTGTCCTTTTCTCCGTGTCCCATAAAACAAAATACACTGTTTGAAGAGTGTTTTACTTATGTCCTTGTCTTTAATTCCGGCTGAAAGAAGATGGAATCTCTGAGCGACCGTGGAATAATGACGTGATAAGTTCCAACAGTTTAGATTTTATTGTTCGTTTTTCGACTGAGACGGGGTCATGGGCGAGACCCATATGGGACCGAGACAGAGACAGAGCAGGTAATTCGGATTAGGCCCGCTTTTAGTTAGTGGAGAATTTAAAGGGTTTATTCGTTTATTTAGCTCATTAGCGCGCAGAGAAGAATTTCTTCTTTGTGACATGAGAACTGACGCTAACACTCCGCTTCAACCTAACCTTAATTCGCAGTCAGGTTCACAATAGGAAACGTCAAATTTTGGCGCGCGGTTCGAAACGATCGGGCTATTTTCACACGTAATTGGCGCAATTGAGGAATTTCGTCTTTCAGCCGGGATACAGGAACTGCCAGATGTTCGTTTGGGACAATTTGAATAGCCGGGCTTTTAATCCATCATATTAACATCAATTAGCCAAGTCGGCTCGGATGTCTGCACAAAGCCATTGTGCTTCATCTATAGTGCTGTAATTGCTGTAAATAACGACCACAAAACCCAAATAGAGCCATCGTATCGAAAATTTTTTTGACAAGTAATCACGCCTCGAAATTGTTCGCCTATTTACTGTTTTAACTTACAGTTAGTTTCAATTTAGACCTTGTCATGATTAGTGGTGAATTTCAGATCGGCAATTTATTTTCTATTACGCGTTTCTGGGAAGATCGTGAGATTTCGTATTAGAGCGCCAAAAAAGGCAAAAAAGAACGTGCGCTTTGTTGCGCAGCACCCGAGGCGCTACTACTTCTTGTATTCATCCTGAGGATATTATAGGCCAAGTCAAATATTTTTACGCACATTACTCTTGAAAGCGAAACTTTTATCTAATTATCATGGTGGTTTACCAAATAACTTGACGGATTCCAGCTCGATTAGTTCGAGTTCTATTATTCCGAAGGCGGCCGTCAAAGACCGGCATTACACAATTCTACAGCCTGGCTGGGGCTTTAATGGTGCAACAAAGGCCTGAAGTCAACGACATACCACCGAATCGTCGTTGTCAGTCGCACGTCGGGGCAATTTCGCAACCTCGACTTATACTTAATACTTAATACAAAACAGAACTTACCGTCCATCTGAAGGTAAATGGCAAGACGAGCTTTCCCCTTTCGGGATCGGCAAGCGTGAAGGAATCGCGTCCCAGGACCACACTGGAGGTGTTCCCGAAGGAACACGAGCCCGTGCTGGTCACGTTGCTCTGGTACTCCTTCAGACAGAGCCTGAAGAAGGTGTTGCAGGACGCCGAACACCGTCCGGTCACTGGGGAGCGCGCACCACCCCCACAACACTCCCCGTTCGACAGTTCCCCTCGAGGGTTGGCCATCTCCAGAACTTGCAGTTCAAAGAAGCCGGAGCCATGCGCACGCTGAAACAAAAACCACAAAAAACAACCGTCAAAGCGAATTCTACAAGAAAAACGTTTATTAAAAGCTAAGTCGACGAACTTGACGGTGAAGCGCGACAAATCCGCTACATTTCGTTAGGTTTTTGCCCGGTTTTAACAAAGTGAATTAATCAGAGGTTATCAAACCGTGCAAAACAATAAGTTGTAATGACCGGTAAATCGAAAATAATTCAGCCAGACGAAGTTGTCAGCCACTTAAAATGCTCAATGGTCCAAGACGGTGGCGTCTACTGTCGACGTCGTCGACTGTGACGGATGTTTTTTCGGAGGCGGGGACCACACAGTCGGAGGCAGCGGGGACGCAGATTGGTCACGCTTCCGACGAACGCACTGGTCGTCGACGAAATTTGGCAAAAATTTTGATCAAGCCCTCTAAACATCACCAATCTGTGACCAAAACGCTAACGAGCTTTGTTCAATCAGCTACAACGCTCACTCATTATCATTAAAGACAACGCAGACGATCTGTGAAAATACGGATGATATTCGGGCGCGCTTCACCGTGATACGGAACCAGATCGAACCGAAACATAAATAAAAACCGACGACCAATAATCGATTTAAAAACGAAAGTTGGATGTACCATTTCCTGTAAACCCATCCAAGCGTTCACAAAAAAATGATAAATCTAATGATCACCAACTCATGACGTACAGGTGTCTAAAAAATTGGATGTTCGTCTACGACAAGTTTTTTGCATTACAAGTTCCATCTTCGCGATTAGCATTTAGAAATGGTTACGTGTAACATTTTTATGTCACTTTCCAATTTTCGTTGTTTATGTGATTAAAAACATTAGTAATCTTCAGAAAAAAAGAAACCGTTTTTCTCTTAATTGAAAAAGTGTTGCTTAATATGGGTCATTTGACTTTCAAATTATGTTATCACTTTTAAATTATACATAATACATTAGCATCACTTCGTTATCACATCTAAATTATTTGATCTAGCGTCTGGGCTGGTTGTGTATGTGTTAGGTCGGACAGGAAGAGTTAGCTCGTCAATAAAGTGAAAAGTTTTCTTAGAAAAGATACATAAATCAATTATTTAAATGCCATATGTTGGTGGCACGAACGTTGAATGTTTCACACGTAGATCGATGTCCATAAAATCCATGGCTATAAATTGAAATAGCCAACTTCAACCCTCCATTTATTTTCCATTCTTTCAGATTTGGCTATTGCTCAGACTCTCGTTAGAGGAGGTATAATAATTTTTTTTTTCTATGCTAAAATGATAGATCTCGACGTATTATACATCAAACTGAAGCTTTTTTTATGTTCGAAGCCACTGAAAACAGCCAAATCAAGCAAAAAAATTGTAACAAATATCGTCAAAAAGAGCCACTGTCTTCATAGAATCGCTTGAAAATCCTCACACTGACAAAGTAAGGTATTTTAAGGACTCCTAATGATTTTTAACAGGACTACTAGTGGAAAATTAGTGATATACCTGCTCCTTGGGAGTTTTGAACAAAACGAATAATTATTGAAAAAATTGCCCAAAACATCCAGACTTTTGAAAAAAAAAATAAATGTATGGTAAAATTTTGAAAATTAATTTTCGCATTTTAGTTCCATCAAAGACAAATATAAATGATATTACTGAAATGATATTAAACCCGACTTAAAGAAATGAATACGGCTCCTAATGCAATGGAAGATGCGTCAGTTTTTAAAATAAAACTGAAGTTTTACTAAAGCATTTTTCAATGTTTCAAAAGGGTTCTGACATTCCACGTTACAGCTAAATTGCACATTTTTCTTGCATTTTTTTTTTTCTCTTCTTCGTTCTCTATTTTTTCTCAAACCAATACAATAATGCTTCAAACATATTTCACTCCGCAATTTCTTGTACAGAAATATGGACTTTGCATTTAAACTCCACCCCTCGGTCTCAGGACGAATAAAAAAAATCATCACAATTGCGATGGGGCGGGTGGGCGGGCCTTATCTATTTCAATGATAAAATACTTAAAATACGAAATGTTGAATTCAAGGTTAGTATTATGTTTTAAGTATTATGTTGTTGAAAATAAAGTCTATACATTAAGAAAAAGAAGCCAATATTAAGCCCCACCCACCCGCCCCTATCTCAATTGTGATGAATTTTTCATTTATTGTCACTTTGAAGGATGGATCTTAATTACAAAATCCACATTGCTTTAGAAAAATTTATCAAAATTTGAATTAGAAAAATTTGGTTGAAAGTTGAAGAACTTCCCTCACACCTAAAATATAATGAATATTTTATTATTTTCGATTTGAGTTTTTACTTTAAACAATTTTGTGATGACGTCATCAATTTTTTGGAGGTGATAAGCAAATATATTTTGATTAAAAATTTATTATGTTTATCATAACTTTAAAACATGTGCAAGATTTAAAAGCATTCGGTTTTGCAGATTCAAAATTAAATTGCAAAATGTTGTTTTATACAATTTAAAAATCATTTACTATGTACAATTTTGAAGTGACGTCATCACTTTGTTGGTGGGGATAATTAGACAAATTTTGGTTAGCGTTTTACCATCTACATGATATTCCTAATATAAATACAAAATTTGCGTATTTTTAGAATTTTCATTTTGATCTTCTAATTTTCCGAATTCTCAATTTTCCTTTTTTTGGATTGTTCAAATTTTCGATATATCGGAGATTCGAATTTTCATCTTGATTTTTTGATTCTTCCAATTCTCAGTTTTTCGTTTTTTTGATTGAATAATTTTTCCATTTTTTGATTTTTCGATCTCCGGGTTTTCGGTGTTTCGATTTTTCGAATTTTCAATTTCTCAATTTTTTTTTTTTTTTGTTTCTGCATGTTTTAATTTCTTAATTGTTCGATTTTTCATTTCGATTTTCGAGTTTTAGGTTTATCGAATTTCCAATTCTTCAATCTCGATGTTTTAAGTTTTTAGATTTTTTCGATTTTTCGAATTCTTAATTTTTCATTTTCTCGATTGTTTGATTTTTCCAAATTATGTTTCTCGATTTTCAATATTTACGTTTTTCACATTTTTGCTTTTTTCATTTTTCGAATTCTCAATTTTTCATTTTTCGGTTGTTCAATTTTTCCTTTTTTTTTGTAAGAAGCTTCTCGAGGGTCCCATTTGTCTTTTTTAAAAAAGCGGTGAAACCTTCTCGAGGGCCCCAACTGTCTTTTTTTCATTTTAAAAAATGTGAAACCTTCTCGGAGCCCCAAATATCTTTTTTTTAAGAAGCTGAAACCTTTTTTTTTACACCGTGCCTAGTACTTTCTATATTGTTTTTCCTCCATAGAGGTTATCATAAAAAACTAAAATTAAAATTTCACAATCGGCCCACTATTTTCGGGAATTATTTGTCTAACAAAAATCCGAGACGGTCAACAGACGGACAGACAAATATACGCAAACGGGCGACCCAGTTCTTCGTTCTCTAGGGGACATGAAAGGTGGAGAAAACGTAACCCACTAGGAAAATAGAGGACGGGTGGGTGGGGCTAGTGCTTGCTAAGATAAGACTGATTTTGGAAGATGATATACCTTCCATGAAGATAGAGGGCGGGTGGGCGGGATTAGTACTTGCTAAGGTAAGACTGATTTTGACAAATGATATTACCTCTAAGAAAATAGAGGACGGTTGGGCGGGGCTATTATATTTCCTAAGATACGACTGATTTTGACAAATGATACACCCTCTAGGAAAATAGAGGGCGAGTGGGCGGGGCAAGTACCTCTAAGATATGACTGATTTTGGAAAATAACATACTTTCTAAGAAAATATAGGGGGTATGTTATTTTCCAAAATCAGTCGTACTTCAAGAGGTACTAGCCCCGCCCACTTGCCCTCTGATTTTGGCAAATGATATACCCTCTAGGAAAATAGAGGACGGGTGGCTGGGGGTAGTACTTGCTAAGATAAGACTGACTTTGGAAGATGATATACCTTCCATGAAGATAGAGGGCGGGTGGGCGGGGTTAGTACTTGCTAAGATTAGGCTGATTTTGACCAATGATATAGTCTCTAAGAAAATAGAGTGCGGGTGGGTGGGGCTAGTATATTTCCTAAGATACGACTGATTTTGGCAAATTATACATCCTCTAAGAAAATAGGGGGCGAGTAGGTGGGGCTAGTACCTCCTAATATATGACTGATTTTGGAAAATAGTATACCCTCTAAGAAAATATAGGGAGCGTGGGAGGGGCTAGTACTTGCTAAAATAAGACTGATTTTGACAAATGATACACCCTCTAGGAAAATAGAGGGCGAGTGGTCGGGGCTAGTACCTCCTAAGATATGACTGATTTTGAAAAATAACATACCTTCTAAGAAAATATAGGGGGTATGTTTATCAGTCGTATTTTAGAAGGTACTAGCCCCGCCCACTCGCCCTCTGATTTTGGCAAATGATACACCCTCTAGGAGAATAGAGGACGGGTGGGTGGGGGTAGTACTTGCTAAGGTAAGACTGATTTTGGAAGATGATATTCCTTCCATCAAGATAGAGGGCGGGTGGGCGTTATTAGTATTTGCTAAGATAAGACTGATTTTGGCAAATGATACACCCACTAAGAAAATAGAGGACGGGTGGGTGGGGCTAGTATATTTCCTAAGATACAGCTGATTTTGGCAAATGATACACCCACTAAGAAAATAGAAGGCGGGTAGGTGGGGCTAGTACCTCCTAAAATATGACTGATTTTGGAAAATAGCATACCCTCTAAGAAAATATGGGGAGCGCGGGAAGGGCTAGTACTTGCTAAAATAAGACTGATTTTGACAAATGATACACTCTCTACGAAAATAGAGGACGGGTGGGTGGGAGTAGTACTTGCTAAGGTAAGAGTGATTTTGGAATATGATATACCTTCCATCAAGATAGGGGGCGGGTGGGCGGGATTAGTACTTGCTTAGATAAGACTGATTTTGGCCAATCACATATCCTCCATGAAAATGATTGATTTTTGTTTTTTTTTTTGT